TTTACATATTTTTATATATTTATTTTATACTTTTCAATACAAATTTTAATATGCCTTTTGTATGTGTCTAACTATTTTTACATATTTTTATATATTTATTTTATACTTTTCAATACATTTTTACATATAAATGGAGACTAAAGAGTACTTATTGAGCCAACATTAGTGTTTTCTAGAATTAGAATAGTAAATAAACATAAATAGGACTAGATGAGTTAGAAGAATTTTAATAGGATTAAATATTAAAATAAAAGTTTCCTAAATGAGATTTACTAATAAATATTCCTATCTTTTTATGCATTGTACTAAAACATAAATAACATATATGTTGTATTTGAATGACAAATTCATAAAAATAAAAAAATAAAAAAATTGTACATCCTAATATTTTTCCCTGCTTATTCATTTATAAATTCAACAAAATACAAACATGCCTTGATAATTAAATTTAAATACAAAATATATATATATATATATTTCAAATTAGTGGTAAACTTTTCCAACTTTAATAATTAAAGTTATAAATTTTAACATGAATTTATAAATCTTTTGTGAAGATACTACTGATTTGTAATTTTCTCTTATTTCAATGCACAATAGAGAAATAATTTTATTTTCATAATGATGCGAGTCACTTGCCTATGGTATAAGTCAATTTCTATTCTTGGTACAAGTCTCTTATATAAGTCAAAAGAGCAATGTCAAAGGCCCTAACATTTTTACCAAATGTACTTATATAAGACATTTGATAAAAATGTTGAGCTCTCTAAAATTTTTCACGTCAAAATTACACTAAATTTTCTTTTTATCTATGTTATAATTATTTTATAAATGTTCTATCTATTTTGAATGACTAGTACTACAAACTCACTCTTATCAATTTAAAAATTAATCTCTATTACACTTTATATAAACTCTATATAAATTTCGCACCACACAAATTAATTTGGACAAACTTCATTTTATCACTTGTAATTTGGGCCGAGTGTGGACTGTCTTCTTGACATTCGGAAATCATCACATAACCTCCATGTTGCTTGTGAACTACAACACACAGTTAACATTTCTGTCCAAGATAACAGACAGTGAGAGTCACGCGTTTCTGTGGAAAGTAAGTCAATTTTTAAGACGAAAATACCTTTCTTATATCTTTAAATTTACCGAAATGCCACACTGTGTTTGGTTTGAGTTTTCTGGATTAAGTTTTTTAAAAATTGAGTTTTTTAAAAACTAAGTTTTTTTATTTTCGTACTTTTTTGTTTTTAGTGAATATTTTTAAAATTTTAAACATTTTTTTAGATGCACCTTACTTAGATGTGTCTAAAAAGTAAAAAAATTATGAAAAAATATTTTAAAAATTTAAGAAATACATAAAAATACAAAAAATATACTAAATTCTTGTATTTTTTTGTATTTTTGGTATTTAGTAAATTTTTAAAAGATTTTTTTTACAATTTTTTTACTTTTTAGGTGTATTTATGTTAGGTGTGTCTAAAAAGTAAAAAAATTTGCAAAAAATATTTAAAAAATTCAGTAAAAATAAAAAAATACGGAAAATAAGAGTGTAGAATTTTCTGAAAACTATTTTTAAAAAATGGGAACCAAACAAAGTGATTATTTTTCCTCTCACCTTATTTCCATTGTTTCCCCTCTACTCTTCCGGTTAATCATTGAACTAGATACATATATATATATATATATATATATGACTGTTATTATTTTCAAAATAAAGGTTAGTATCAATTACTTGAGAACAAAACCCACAATCATAATGCTTGTTGATTCACTAAATCTGTCACGACCCCAAACCGCCCTAGTAGTTTGGTGCCGTGATGGCCAGTAATCCGTGATTACCAAAGGCCACTTCCAAAATCCACACACAATCAGAGTATAATTTATGGGGCTTACAAGTGCGGAAACAATAATCTAAAATACAAGTGGTCCATAAGAACAGTGCATAAGTCAAATGGAATGGCATACATCTTTACATAGCTTTGCAACTTGAAATACATATAGAAATGAAATACAAAAATACATATTACATCTTAACAAAAGGGCTTCTCAAGCCGACATGTTCAAATACAAAAGCTTCAAGATTGCCGACATCCTCACTGCCGACATAACATGCATACAAAACACACACATCTCGGTGTAGCCGACTTCTTGCTTGTTACCTACATATATACATAGGGAGGGTGAGCTTGGATACTCAGTGAATGGTATAAGTAATAAAGGGGTTAAATGAATGATTCCCGAGGTCTTTCAAACAATACATAATATGTCTTTGTCAAAACCATACTTATCATAGCTTGTACAAAACATGAGATAAATCTTGTTCATCAAACTTGATCTTACAAAACTTACATACTTAACATACGTCAAATCTTATAACATAACATCGGCATAACCTTGGTCCTTCAAAACTTACTTACTTAACATGTGTGCTACTAATGCTTATAGTCCCCTAGCACGTACGGACTTGTGTCACAATTGCTTAAAGTCCCCTGGCACGTACGGACTTGTGCCACAATTGCTTAAAGTCCCCTGGCACGTACGAACTTCACATATGTGCTACTAATGCTTAGAGTCCCCTAGCACGTACGGACTTGTGCCACAATTGCTTAAAGTCCCCTGGCACGTACGGACTTCACATATGTGCTACTAATGCTACTAATGCTTAGAGTCCCCTAGCACGTACGGATTTGTGCCACAATTACTTAAAGTCCCCTGGCACGTACGGACTTCCAAAGATTGACATCAAAACAAAGCTTTACTTGATACATTGCCATTCAAAACGAGGCTTATACTTGATACGTAAAATAGGGATATCATTCATGCTTAACAAATACTTTTATCAAAACAAGGCAAAGCTTTATCAAAACCGTATAACATAACTTTATTAAAAATACCACTCACATAGTTCTTGGGACGTCGGGATCAAGGCAAAGGTCCAAGTCCTACAAACACATGACAAAGCATACTGAATGTACTTCTCAAAACAGGTCTCACATGCATGCAAATGATCTCTGGAAAAACATGCTGGAAGTCAAAACACTGCTTTACATGTCAGGAAGACATACTGGGTACCAACCAGGTCTTTGCCGAGGTCTCACACCTCTTGGCCGAGGTGTGGCTACCTAGGCTTCAGCATGCGGCTGCATGCCGAGGTGCGCACAATACAGACTAGAGGTGTAAGTGATCATGCAAGGTAGGCCAATGTGAGATACGATGCTTGGCCTAAGTGTGAGGTCTAGGTGAGAGTGATCTCGACGACTACACTTCGATAAGTGAGGTCTGGAGATCTGGGCTACCACCCATGAAGAACAGGAAGAACATGAACATGAAGAACATGAGGAACATGAATGCCAAAATCATAACTTCTTTATCTACGAAATCTGGGATTTCATGCTATGAGTTCGAAAACATGGACCTGGGTACCCATAGTTGAAAATCATGTGAAAACCAACACAAAAACATGGACTTGGCATAAACTTTCGGATCAAAACATATCTTTTCTTGAAGAACACATGAATGCCATTTTCTTTTTCTAAAACCGAACTTCAAAACAATGCATGGCTTACAAATCTTATCTAATCATGGAATGCAATGACATAAACATAGAGAACAACATGAGCAGATCAAGAATCTAACCTTAGAACACGGATCTAACGGTCCGATCTCTAGGGATCAAGCTTGGAAATCTACTCTCTCTGAAGAACTCTTCTTCCTCTCCTAGAGCTTCTCTCTCCTCTTCAAAACAAGTATACAACAAAATGATAGATTCTCTCTCTCTATCGGCTGACTTAACTCTCAGCTCGAACACGTGGCAACGGCTGGTTGGTTCTCTTCAAAAAGGTGATAGATTGACAAGACAAGGCAATGACAAAGCGTATCTAACAAGCTACTCGGAATGGCACTCCGGCAAGTGGTGACATCGGCTAAGGACAAGGCTTCGGCAACTAAGGTGACAATGACCTCGGCTAGGAAGGACAACACGTGACTAAGCTGTGCCACACCTTGGCCTAGATGTGTCACATCTTGGTCTAGGTCATACCACTCCAGGACAAGGTCGCTCAGGTGCAAAGGTAACATCTCGGCCTAGATAATACACATCTCGGCCTTGGTGATTCACACCTCGGCCTAGATAATGACATCTCGGCCAATATGTCAAAGCAAGGGTGGAGGTCAAACGAAGGGGTTCCAAGATACTTCTAAACTGAAGATGACCTCGGCTTGGAATGATCTAGGCTTAACATAACCTAGGCTTGGCATAACATCGGCTTAACATAACCTAGGCTTGAGACACCAAGGAAGGAAACAAGCATGCACACAACACTTAGGCAAATCGCATAGACATCAAAACAAAGCATGGACCTTACTTAGCCAAAACAAGTCATAAACATGCAAATGCAAGCTTAACGAGTCATAATCATACCAATGTTCATGAACATGACTAAGACATAAATGTGGGTCGCTACAAAATCCTTATCTTCATCATCAATATCTATAAACCTCTACCTTAAAATAATAATAATAATAATAATAATAATAACTTTTATATGTGTACGTGTTTAAACAAAATCAATTTTCAATCTTCACTATGAAAATATATATATATAGATAAAACACGAGCATACAAAGTTTTTTTCTTCAATTTTCCCTATGCATCTATATATATATGTGTGTGTAAAATATAATTTAGGGATATTTGATGAACTAGATGATTTGGTGATGTTTGATGAATCAGAGATTCAAAATTATATTTTTTGATCCACTGTGCATATATATATATATTCTTCAAGAAGATGATCAAACGCATCTAAATTGGACAACATCAATGGAAGCCCCCAACCTCGATCTGTAGTTATGCACCATGTCTTTTTCAATAAGTGAAACTTATCCAAAACAACTTCTATTATCATCCAGCCTCCATGGCTTCAATATATGTGTGCAAAATATAGTTTTGAGGGTATTTAATGAATCGGATAATTTGATAATATAACAAGTTCCCAGAGAGGCAGCCGATCAGCACTTCGGCGCAGGGCGGCGACAAGGATTACATGGAGCCATCGCCGGCGCCGCTGTTCGAGCCGAGAGAGCTGACCTCGTGGTCGTTTTACAGAGCTGGGATCGCCGAGTTCATGGCAACTTTTCTGTTCCTGTACATCACCATTTTGACGATGATGGAGGTTGTTAGCTCCAAATCAAAGTGTTCGACGGTTGGGATTCAAGGCATAGCTTGGTCGTTTGGTGGCATGATCTTTGCACTTGTCTACTGCACCGCTGGCATCTCAGGTTAATTTCCCCACCATTTCTACTCCAATTTTTAAAAATTCTTTTGCTTTCATATTATCATACGCCTGTTTGGAATCGATTTTTGAATTAAAATAATTAATAAAAATAAATTAAATTAAAATAGTCAATAAAATATTATATTTAAATCATAATTATTTTAATTTTTTCTCTCATAATCATTGAATCAATTTTCAAGAAAAATAAAATAAAAAACAATCAACTTCTCAAACATAATTTTTATTTTTTTTAAAGTTAGGCTAAAATAACAAAAAAAAGAAAGAAAAAAGAAGAAGAAGTCAAAAAACTAACTAAAATAACCAACCTCCCAAACAAGTCCAATTATTAATTCATGTTCCATTGTGATTTTAGATGGTGATACTTAGAAATTATTAGTCGTGATATAATGGTTTTTTTTAATACACGTTTAATTTTTTTTTCAATCAATAAATATATCGTAATATATAAATTAAAAAAATATACTAATAGGTAGTCAAATCAATAAAACTGTTCTTTGAAAAAGGTGAAATTTAGGGTTATTTTTTAGTTAGTTAAGAAAAGGCGAAATTACACATCAGAGCTAATTTAACAAAATATTTACGAATTGTTGATGGTAAAATTTTTAAATCTAATTATTAATATTTGTAAAATTTACGACTAGTTTGAAATTTCTTTTTCAAAAGAAACACTGAAACGTGATTTTCCCTTCAAAATAATTAGTTTATTCAATAAAATAAGTTTACAAAATTTAATCTTAAAAAAGCTTGGTATATTATTAATTTTTAAAATTTTCCTAATAATTTTTTAAAATACTGATGTTGGCATGTGATGAAAAATTAATTTGACAAATGAATTAAATATTTTTTTAACTAATAAATTCATTTTTAAACCACAGTCAAACCAATCCTTCCACTCACTTTTGCATATTTGGGATTGATCGGATTACGCCTCATTTGGAAACTAATTGTTTAGCTAAGAATATATATATATATATATATATATGACGTGATTTAAATTTTTTTTTCCCTCAACTATTTATTTAATTAAAAAACCATTTCAACATACTAGCTTTCTATTTTCAAAAAATTATTACATATGCATAATTTTTTTTTATAATTTTAATTATTAATATTAATAAAATTTATCATTAATTTGTAATTATTTTTATAATTATAGATCGATGTAATTTAATTTAATTTTATTTTTTATCTCATTCAAAAACTCAAAAAATGTCAAAAAGGCCAAACGACCACTAAAATAAAGGCTAAATTAAATGATCCAATACTTTGATGTGTGGAATTTGTGTAGGGGGACATATTAACCCGGCGGTGATATTTGGGCTGCTACTAGCAAGGAAGTTGTCATTGACGAGAGCAGTGTTCTACATGGTGACGCAGTGCCTTGGTGCATTTTGTGGTGCTGCTGTTGTCAAGGGCTTCGAAGGGACAACCCAGTACAAGTTTCTTGGTGGTGGTGCTAACTTTGTCAACCATGGTTACACCAAAGGCTACGGTCTCGGTGCTGAGATTGTCGGAACCTTTGTCCTTGTTTACACCGTCTTCTTCGCCATCGACGCCAAGCGTAGTGTTAGAGACTCCCACGTCCCTGTAAGCACAAACACTTCTTCTCTTTACACATATCTAATATCAAATTGGACACAACTTTATCACATAAATCTGCTCTATATATGCATATTTGTGTATCCATTGATTTGGCTTATAATATTCTGGTCACGGTGGGATGTAGATATTGGCACCATTGCCAATTGGGTTCGCAGTGTTCTTGGTGCACTTAGCCATTGCTTAAGCTTTTTCAACATAGAAATTTCTATGTTCGTGTGATGATTGTTATAGAGAAATTTCTATGTTCGTGTGATTCTTCTCCCATCGAGCAGTGAACACAGAAGAGAGCGGCAGATGCGGACTACGGCGCTGCTGTAGAAGAGGGGCGTGGTTGATGTGTGTCACGACCCAAGCTTAAGCTTTTTCAACATAGAAATTTCTATGTTCGTGTGATGATTGTTATAGAGAAATTTCTATGTTCGTGTGATTCTTCTCCCATCGAGCAGTGAACACAGAAGAGAGCGGCAGATGCGGACTACGGCGCTGCTGTAGAAGAGGGGCGTGGTTGATGTGGTTGTGAAGGAGGCGGTGGTTCTGGTAACGGTAGTGCGACGGCGGCATTAGGGCATGTTTCGCCGCATTGAGAGAGAGAACCCTAGAGAGAGAAAGAGAGAGAGAGTGTGTGAACACAACACCCATCTCTTTCTTTGAACTACGATACGACACATTGAGAGAGATCCACTAACGTGAGAAAGAACGTGGAGAGAGGGAGTTAAGAGACGTTTGGCAGACGTGGGAGAAAAAGTAGAGAGTGTTTGGACGGGAAAAAAATTAATCTCAACCGTAGATATTGATTAGAAATCATTTCAGTCATTCAAATAAAATGTATCAAAGATACATTTTAATATATTTTCAAAAATTGTTCAAATAAATACATTTTAACATATTTTAAAAAACAGTTCTGTCTTATAATATAGATATTAGTTTTATCTTTATGCTTTTGTATATACATAAGTTGTTTTCATTTTTTTTTAAATAAGTTTTTATTTTCTCATCTCACTCATCACTTTTAAGTTTTTATTTAAATTCGAGCTACGTAGCAAAACTCTTTTTAGATTCACTCAATTTAAATACACTTAAAACGTATAAAATTTATGATTTTTTTTAAAAATTGCTAAATATTAACAAATATACAAAAAATAAATTAATATATATTTTTTGTATTTATTAAATTTTTAAAAGATTTATACAAATTGTGGCTCTCAAACATTATTCTCAAACTAAATAGACAAATAATTTAAATTAAAAAATTTAAAGTTTAAATTGACACAATTAAAAACTCATAATTTATTTTATTAGAATGGTTAAGCCTTTTTTTTTTTTGAATTTTTTCCATATTTTTATTTAAAAAAAAATCAATGAAACTAATTGGTCATTTTCATAATGGATAAATTACAAGTACATCCTTTATGATTTGTTTAAAATATAGATTGTTCTCTGTACTTTAAAAAATTACAAATATCAACTTATCAAAATATTTTATTTGATAGAATAAAATAAAAAATAAAATTCCTTATTGATTTACCATACAATAATAAAAAGGAAAATTAGTGAAACATATCTCTCCAATTTTCTAATTTTAAAATAAAGTGTTGTCTCTTTTATTAAAATAAATGTCTCTTAATTTTGTATTGAATCTTGTTTTGTAATAATTAGTTTTTAGTCAATAATGAATATTTATAATGTATATAATAAATTGATCATTCTATTTTATTTCATTCCAACAATATTAGTTAGGAGAAATTATCCACAAAAAAAAATAAAAATGATCCTTATAACAAAATAAATCTTGAATTTTTAATTTGATCAATTTAAACTTTAATATTGTGATTAGTTTTCAATCTAAATCATTTATCTATTTTTCTGAAGTAAAATTAACAAAAAAAAAATAGCATTTTAATTACTGAACTTAATGAAAAATGACATTAAATTATTTCATTCCAACAATATTAGTTAGGAGAAATTATCCACAAAAAAAAATAAAAATGATCCTTATAACAAAATAAATCTTGAATTTTTAATTTGATCAATTTAAACTTTAATATTGTGATTAGTTTTCAATCTAAATCATTTATCTATTTTTCTGTAGTAAAATTAACAAAAAAAAAATAGTATTTTAATTACTAAACTTAATGAAAAATGACATTAAATTTAGCAGAATTGGGTAGTTGGGATCAGTGGTTGTGGGGGACAATACAAAGGCAAATTATTGGGTTGAAACAGTTTGGAATACAAGGCTTAGTTTAGTTTGATAAAAAAAAATTTAAACTATTCTAATATCATATGTATGCATTGTAATGTTTGGACCGGAGAACTCTCAAGCAATAAAAGTATGTAAATAAAAATGAAAAATGTCAATAAAGAACACATAATAAGAACATATAACAAAAATCGATGTGGTTTGGATCAATGGCTGTGGGGGACAATACATAGACAAATTTTTGGATTGGATCGGTTTGGAATACAAGGCTTAGTTTAGTTTGATAAAAAAATAAAATAAATAATAATAATTAACTATCCTAATATCATATGTATGCATTGTAATGTTTGGAAGCAATAAAAATATGTAAATAAAATGAAAAATGTCAATAAGAACTTTTAGAAAGTTGTTGTAGAGACCTAGGTGCTATGAAGTATGGACACTTCAAAATAAGTGTTGCAGCCATGTCGGATAAGAACACAATTGTCATCAATTTTGTTGGTGAAAAAGCAATAAATTAAATAAGTTATAGTTATCAAATGGACTTAATTCTTTGTGTATATGAAATACACTAAGTGCTTGATAAAATGAACAATTCAAATTATCGAAACGGGGCATGTGGTAGGCCTCATGGGCCAAAACAATGCTCTCTAATCCAAATTTTAAACTGGAACGGATCTTTCTCTTAATTCGATTCCCTACGCCCTATGAAACCTCTTAAATTAGAGAGAGAGAGAGAGAGAGAGAGAGAGAGAAAAGAAAAAAGAAACACAATCACTAATGTAGTTATTTTATATGGGGGAATTCTCTCCGGGCCACTCTTAAATTAGAGAGAAAAACAAAAAACCCGATCACTAACGTAGTTATTTTATATGAGGAAATTCTTTTTGGTCCATAATTTGAACTGAAGAGCGTTGTTTAGTCTTGTGATGTCTATCATAGATCTCGTTTTGATCATTCGAACTATTAAGTATGTTGGACATTTCATTTTTTTATTTCGTGAGCATAGAAAATCATAACCTATTTAATTTGCATTTGTCACTAAAAAAAAGGACAATTGTAATCTATTCAATTTAAATTAATTTTACAAACCTGTATCTCAACTCTCCGAAAGCGAGCTATGCTCCATCCTCATGCTTCAATGTATAATATTAGAGTACATAATATTTTAATTATTAAAGTATTTGTAATAAGTGAAATATTATTATATATTTTTATGTATGTTGGAACGCTAGATTGGATGGCTTTTTAATACAATTTTTATTTTATAAAAATTAGTTCGCTCCCATTTAAAAAATACATATATGTAATAATTGGAATTCAAAATTATATTATACTATTAATTTTAGATTTGACTTAAATTGATTACATCAGCTCAACACAAATTGCTTATAAAGTGATAAAATTTTGATCCGGTCCGACCCGGCCAATGTACCCGACCAGTTGGAGAAGTTATAAATAGGAATGGCAACGAGACAAGAAGGGTGAGTTTTACACTCTTTGTTTCCAATCTCCAATTATTATTATTTTTTTCCATTTCCATTCCTCATCCCTAACGAAGACCATTTTTATTCCACCGTCTTGCCTCTAATGGGGTTCGGTTTTTCCCGCCCCACAAACCCTGACCCATTTTCGTGATCAGTAATGTTACATTCATCTAATTTGGTGCCGTCTGAATTGCATGAATCTATTCACACTAGTCATCTAGATGACAGGATGACAACTGTGGTAGACGAAGGTGAAACCAATCATCCAGCTGGCACAAATTCAAACGATTTGAGTGACAACAAATTCGATAAATAAATCATTTCACTTCTGTAATCTATTCAAAGTTACGTTGCTTCAGTTCATATATCCCCATAACGAACAAAAAGATAAAAAGAAAAAAAAAAATTAATAAGAGCAGAAAGTGAATGAAAGGGACTTCATCAAAGATTAAAAATATATAGTTTTTATTATTTATTTATTTTTGCTTTCAATATTTTCATCTTTCTTTTATTTTAAAATTATTTTAACTGAAAAAGTAATTTTTTTTATATATAAATTAAAAAAAATGTTAAAGACAAAAAAAGTGTAAGGCCTTAATTATAAATTAGATTACACAAACTTGATTATGAAGTTGAAAGGCTTAAATAAAATAATTTTGAATTTACATTAAAAAGTTTGAACATCGCATTGAAATAGAATGAGAGGGTTTAAATAAAAAAATTAACAGTGTGATGATTAGTTGCCAAATTTAATGGACAGAAATGAAGGGTGGACAGGTGTGGTGGCTGTTAGTAATAGGTAGTCGAACTTATTTGCCGAATTTAGTAGTTGGACGATGTCGAAGGATATGAGATGACCTGAAGAATACCAATTGATAATTGAAAATCACAACGGCGACCACCCACTTGCTAGAGAGTTGCCGGAGTTTGGTCGGAACTCGCCATTCATTGATGGTTGTGGTGAGTGGTGGCTAAAAGTGATGAGTGAGATGAGAAAATAAAAACTTATTTAAAAAAAAATGAAAACAACTTATATATATACAAAAGCATAAAGATAAAACCAATATCTATATTATAAGACATAATAGTTTTTGAAAATATGTTAAAATGTATTTATTTGAACAATTTTTGAAAATATGTTAAAATGTATCAAAGATACATTTTATTTGAATGATTGAAATGATTTCTAATCAATATCTACGGTTGAGATTAATTTTTTTCCCATCCAAACACTCTCTACTCTTTCTCCCACGTCTGCCAAACGTCTCTTAACTCCCTCTCTCCACGTTCTCTCTCACGTTGGTGGATCTCTCTCAATGTGTTGTAGCTCAGAGAAAGAGATGGGTGTTGTGTTCACACACTCTCTCTCTCTTTCTCTCTCTAGGGTTCTCTCTCTCGATGCGGCGAAACATACCCTAATGCTGCCGTCGCACTACCGTTACCAGAACCACCGCCTCTTTCACAACCACATCAACCACACCCCTCTTCTGCAGCAGCGCCGTAGTCCGCATTTGCCGCTCTCTTCCGTGTTCACCGCTCGATGGTGCCGTTATTTCGGTGCCGAACAAACAATCTTCTGCAGGCTCTTCGCTACGCTGCTCAATTCGTCTCCCTTCGCTACCGATGGTGCTCTCGTAAGGTAAGATTGAGTCTTTTCACTCGATTTCTACCTCTCCCCTTCTCTCTCTGTTTTTGTTTTTGACTAATTTGGCTTGCTACAGTGCAAACCCCACTGTCGTCTTCATGAACAGATGTGGGTTTGATATTTTTTCCCTTCTCTCTCTGTTCTTCTCCTTTATTTCATGAATACATACAATTTTAGACCTGTTTATTTGTTATTTTTTTTCCCCTTCTCTCTTTGTTCTTCTTCTTCATTTCATTAATACATATGCAATTTGGGGTTTGATTTCCTATTTTTATTAGAATTCGGTGGCCAATACAGACTTACAGGTTAACTCAGAGGATATCGTAATTTAGTTTGTTATTTTCATGATTTTTGTGTTGTTTGCTTTCTTATTTTGCCATTGGTAGCTTTATGTTAACATTTACACTTTACAGTTGATATTGCTGAAGATACTAAACATATTGAAGAATAATTATTTTGTGAAACTTCCAATCTTACCTTATACTGCATTTATCCTTAACTAAAGAACGAAGTCAAGAAGGGAAGAAAGCAGAGCCTCCCCCCGGAGTAAAATGGTGCACTGTTTTGGTTTTCTTCCTCACTCTTAAGGGAGAAAGTGTTCTTTGTGATTTTGTTGAGGTTATTTCTTGTTTTCCAATCCAGCTATCTCAGTTTCCAACTGGTTTTTTGTTTTATCTTTTGAGTGCATTGAGTTTTGGTGTTGTTCCAGAGTATCAGTTTTGTCCAACCATGAGTTGTCAGACTTTTGCTCCTTGTTATTCTATTCATGTATGTTCTTTCCTGCTCGGGTTCTTCAAGTAGGGAAGTTCAGATCATGTTGTGAAGTTGGTGCCACCGTTCTTGGTGGATGTTGGCGGTCGGTGGCCTTAGCCGGCGTTGTTTCCTGCTGGTGAGGTTTGATTTCTTTGCCTGGCTGGGTGTACTGGTCGTGTGCTTCGGTTGGATTTGAGTTTGCCGGTCAAGCTCAAGTTCAAACGGATGGAAAGAACAGAGACTCTCTGCTGAGTTTGGTTCAGGCGACCTGGGTGTAGGTTGTTTATTTCAAGTCTTCTGGTTGTTTCTGGGATGATTTTGGTTTGCCTTTGCACTTGCTATCACGCCGGAGTTTTCTTTCCGATGTTGGTGTGCTACTGTGGTATGTACTGAACGGTGATTATGGGTGGCATTGCTGCTGTAATGGCGGTAATGTTATTGTTTCTGTTCCGGTAGAGTTATCCGTCAATGGCGTCGTGAGATTGTGGCGTTGTGGTTGTCTGCCGGTGCGCGTGTCTTTGGTTGTTCTGGGTTGTTAGAGCTCCGGTGGTGGTTCTGGTTCTGTGTAGGGCTTCAGAGCTAGTTCGGTTTTATGAGGATGGTGTTGTAGATTGCACGCAGTGTTTGAGCGTGGAGGTGCTGACTATTTTCCGGCGCTGTTATGCCGCCAGCATTATTGGTGGTCTTGGCTTTCCGGCGTTGTCTTTCCGGCGTCGTGATCTTGATTGTTTGCCGTCGGTAGTGTTGTCGACGTGCATGGTTTACGCATAGGCATGCGTGCGGTTGTTTGGAGATAGAGGAAAGTTAGGGATCATGAAAATTTTTTCATAAAAATTATCATGAAAGATTTATGATCTTTGGATTATCTCGATTAATGTGTGATGTTTTATTCTAAGTGTAATTCAAGAGTTACAAATTTTTTATGATTATTTTCATGAAATTTTTTTTATAATACCTAGTATTACTATTGGAGTGTACATCACCCACGTGGGTCTGGCGTAAACATATTGCTGCAGGCTAGACATATAGGCCTTTGAGTGATGTTTGCATATAAAGTTGTTCCAGCTCATGGGTTTGAATTATGGTGGGAAAACTCAAATTTTATACCATGGGCTGGTTTTGTTTTGCTAGCTGTAAAGTGTGTTGTTGGTGTACGTGGGTTTTTGCCTACACGTGCAATGCTAGCTATTTTTTGTGGGCCAGGTTGAGTTTGTATTGCAGACTTGTTGGTTTCACTTGATTTGTTAGTGGGCCATGGTTTGCTAATGGTATTAGGCCCAATTTATGGGCCAAGGGAATTACGTTCGGCTGTGGATTGTTCTTCTGCTAGTCCGTGGGTTATCTTTTTATGTGGGTTTTATTTGGTCCCACTTATTTTTGGTTTGATAATTTGTTTTGGTGGGTTTTCTACCACTCCTGTACAATTGTCCATATATCTTCCCCCAGTACCCATCTATTATTTTGGATGATATAGGGTACTTGGAGATAAAAATGATATATGGACAATTTTTGTTTATTATTGTTTGTTGGGGACCCAACTGTTATGGGTGTGTTTTTTTTATTATTAGTTTTTTTTTTTATTAGTTTTCCCCTTTTGGTGGATTTGTGTTTTCATTGTATTACATGGAGTATGCCCCTTGTAAACGCCCCTTGTAAACGTCTAAGTTTTTTGTCTTTAATTTATGACTTACCCACCCCCCCAAAAAAAAAAAAACCAAGTAATCATAAATTAGCATTCACAAATGCAATGCAACCAAATTATTATTAAAAATAATCCAATTCCCTAATCCTGGCATTCTTTTTGGATTGGTCAACAGAGCGGAGTTCACCATGCCCTTAACCCAGATCCATACAGAGGAGTCTTTGGTTCAGACAGGGAGAAGTATGCAAGAGATGTTGAAGATCTCATTACCTTTGGAACTTCAGGGCATGTAGCTGGTTTTATTTCTGAAACCATACAGGTAAGCATCGTCTATGTAAATTTGTTTTTATTGTTTCTTTTTGTGGCTATATTGATTAGGGTAATGATGTACACAGGATTTAACACAAAAAAAATTATGCAAAATGATGTGTCGCATTTATATCCCTGCATTGATAGTCAAATGGCCATCACTATGGTTCATAATTGCAAGAGTGTCATTGCCACATTATTTTTGTCTTAAATTCTGGACGAAAATTGTGTGAGAATATCATTTTCCTATTAATACAACCTCTTCCGAGTTACTGTCTAATTTGAACTACTCTCTAAAATGGTAGAGAGTGGGTGGAATTATTGAATTGGCCCCAGGGTACTTCCCTGCCGTATACAGCAGTATTAAGAAAGCAGGAGGGCTTTGTATTGCCGATGAGGTTCAATTTGGGTTTGCTCACACTGGGAGCCATTTTTGGAGATTTGAGACCCAAGGCATTGTGCTTGACATAGTGACAATGGCAAAGGTAAATCTATATAATATGGCAGGATTTAAAAATGTCCAAAATGATTTTTAATGGTCTAAATTAATTCTAAAGTGTATATCAATGGTTAAGATCAATCCTTTCAAATGTACCAAACACTCGATTCCCGCCCAAATACTCTTCTCTCTCTCTCATATCTCAAACACTTAATATGGCAGGATTATTTTTTTGGCCTTTATAGATTTGTCCTCTTCTTCTTGGGCTAGCAAAGTGTGTTTCGAGGGGGGAGAAAGAGTGAGTGTGTGTTTTAAAATTTGAAATTTGAAAAAGTGAGATGAGCGAGAAAGAATGGATGGGTGGGTGGGGGTGAAGAGTTTTTTTTGTTTTTTGTGGGCTATTGTGGCTCTTGGACACAAAGTGTGTTTTGTTGTCCGTCACGGCCAACGCCACCGTCGTCTCACTCTCTTGGGAACAAATTATGTTTTTGTTTTTGTTAGTATTTATTTTATACAAAATATAAAAAAATAATTAAAATGTATTATTTACTATAATTTGAGTTCAAATACTTAAAATACATAAAAATACATAAATCATGCAAAATTATAAAATTTTATTTTAAATTTGTAAAAATTATTTTAAAATTTTTAAGTGTAAATTTTATAACATTACTCTAAATTTTATAATTTTTAAGTGTATTCAGATTGAATGGATCTGAAAAAGTAAAAAATGTTGATTAAAATATTTAAAAAGTTTACTAAAAGTAATAAAATACAGATTGAAAATTTTAAAAATTATTTTTGAAAACTGTAAACCAAATAAGTTTTGAATTTCAAATTTGTAAAAATTATTTTCAACATATACAACCAAACTCTAATTATAAAATTATTTGAAAATCCAAACCAAACGGACCATCTATTTATATTTTGACCTCAAATTTTTTTTTTGGCGCAACAAATTAGATAAATTATATTTTAATCCATAAGATGAATATTTCTTTATATTTTTTTAGTATTTTTATCAAAAAAAGTTACAAATTTTACAAATTTTAGCATGATACGTATAAATTATAATTGAATTTTGATCTCAACAATATTTATATCGTGCCTTTAGGCACGAGCATACACTAGTAGATATATATATATATAAATTATTAATTTCAATTCCATATCAACATTTTAAGGTAGCTTGGTTGGTTGGAGCTTGCTTCCACTTACCCCCAAGGTAACGTGTTAAAAATTAGGGTTTCACAACTTTCACTCTCTCTTTTCCCTCCTTTGTTTCTAGACCCCTCTCTCTCGCTAATCTTCCACCGCTTCAAAATTAGGGTTTTATAACGGTCTCCTCTCTCTTTTCACTCCTTTGTTTATTGACGCCTCTCTTTCTCTCTCTCTCTCTCTCTCTCTCTAATCTTCCATCGCTGCTCTCTCTCTCCATAAACCTAAACCCTTTCGATCTCTCTAGCTTCTATCCATCTGTGAAACCCGAAACCTTTGAAATTGACTCATTCAAATCGTCTTTCTGATGGAGAACATGAAGACGAAGCACAAAAAAACCCTTAGACGAAGCAGCAGAAACCCCCTAAACCACACTCGAACCCTAAGACGAAGTAGACAAAGAAGAAGAAGCGTGAGATCGTCTGAAATCCATCACGCATCTTGAAATCCAGTTATTTATTTTTCTGAAATCGTCTTTCTGATGATGGAGAATTGCTTAAATTTTGCTTCAAATTGCTTGAGATTAATTGAAATCTGTATAAAATTGCTTGATTATTCTTGTAATTATTTTTGTTTATGTGATTTCAATTTGATCAGGTGAACAAGCTTCATGAAGTGTGTTGAAGATTTCATAGCTAGCGTTTATCTGCAACTTAACAAGATTTTTCAATGCTCAGTGGCTTCGATTTCTCAATCTCAAACCTCTAGTGGTCTTCTTTTACTGGTATTGATTTCTCTATCCATTGATTGCTTTATGACCACACACCCTCATCAAACTCTTAATCACCACTGTCACTATCTCTCCTCTCTCTCTTGATGTGTATTTTGCTATAGCATTGCATGATGTCAATATTCACTTTGACTCTATTCTTGATGCATGTCACAATATTTTCACTCTGTATAGTAATTTTGAAATTCATGTTCTGTTTTAGCTTTAATATGTGCATCAGCTTTAATATGTGCATTGGTTCCCCTACTTACAGTGAAAACTTCTACTCTATTTATAGACCAAATTTTCTCTTATGAGGCTCTAGACCAATTTTCTGGGGGGGGGTGACTCCTATATGCATGTCCCCACTTTTCCATTGTTAAAAAATGTGTATTGTTTTTGTCTCATCTTATTCAATTTTGCTTTTACTTCAAGTTCAGAGTTCTACATGCATTGCAATTCCTGTTAGTGTGGTCCATGTAATTTGGAGATGTTGATTGAGGGCGAGGCAACCGCTGAGATTTTCAGTTATTTAGAAGTTTAATTTTATAAAAAATAGCCCTTCAACCAAACAAGAAACAAACAAAACTTGGAAAAAAATGATCATGAATTGATTGCAGGTGTTACTAACTTGTAGTTACTATTTATTTGGAATGTTGAAGTATTTTTGGTGCTTGATATTTGCCCCTCTCCTAGTTCTTCCCCTCATCATTATGCTTACATATGTGATGATGTAACCATTGTTCTTCTATTCTATAGTTTTACTTAGGAAATTCGTCTATTTTTTCTTTATTTTGGAGAGGTGGTTCTACATGATGCTGATCTTAGTATGTGGACCTTCATTCATTCATGTTTGAGTCGGAAAAGATGATTCTATTTTTATTTTTTTTGTTAAGTAGGAAAGCCAATTTGTAGACATAAGTCGTAACTCAAAAATAAAATACTGCTCATGCCAATTAGTTTCTCAATTTTCTCGACACCAGGCTCTAAGGATTCTTTTAGATCATCCTTTTTGAAATTAAACATATGTGTTTAGTTGTCAAAATCTCCATTAAGCTCAATTAGTTTCAGTACGAAATTACTATACCATATTTTGTTCCAACAAGGTCGGGAAGGTGCATAATAACTTTAAACATACAAAATAAGATGTGGCATCACATAAGGAACAAAATTTATTTCTGAAATTAATGCACTTCTTTTAACTATTTGACCTATTTTCAAGACACTTCTTTATTTCAATCCCAATATCCAGCACTTTTAGCATTTGTCATATACAAATATCTTGAGGACATAACAATTACACGAATTATAACTAAGATCATTCCAATAAAATAAATTAAATATATCTATTAAGAACAGAACAAAAAAGATGACATGAGGAACTTGCTTCTCTACATTTCAGGAGCTTTAGCAATAATGGAGAAAACTACAAATGCAAGACTGATGTTACAGGAGGACAAGTTACCAAAATATTTGATATCCGTGTTTCATATTTCTTCTTTTCTACTTCTAAATCTGAAAATTCAGTCAAATAAAGAAACTAAATCCTAAGCAAAGAATCATGCCAATCTCAAATCATACCTGAGGGAGTAATGTAGGGAAATTAGTTAGAAGTTTTCTCGTGCTAAGATTTCGAAACTTCAGTGTAGCTTCTACAACATGGTCTAAAAATTCACTTAGTAGTTTATTGGTGGTAGTTGCTACATAATTAATGTCTGTTGGGCTATATATAATAAATCCATGTGTTTTTTTGGCGATTAATGTCGACCTTTTTTTATTCAATGGCAATTGAGCAGCGAGTAGTAACACAAGTGATGAAGACTAAAGAATTCCTCAACTGAGCAGTGAGTCAACAACCAGGTAATCTCAGTTATCACTCAAGAATTCCTTCACTTACGTTGCTGCCATTGCTTGGAAATGGAGACTAAATTAGGCCCTAGTTTTTTTTAGTTTTTATTTTTTTCATTTATCCTTTTTGATGTTGTGATGCAGAGCGTGATTCTTGGGAAACTAACATGGGTATGGAGATAGAAGGTGATGGGGGTGCCTGCATATTTTCAACCTGATCTGGAAGCAGATCTCGTCTTGCCTCCGGCACCAGCTAGCAGAGTCGACAACCATGTAATTTTTAATCTCAGTTATCATTGAAGAATAAATTCACTTACATTGCTACAATTCCTTGGAAATGGATATTGTATTTCATGAGTAACTGATCAAAATAATTCTATTGACACAGCTTTTACAGGTTCCAACTAGTATGGTGTTAGAATTGTATGATGCACGATTCGATTCATACAATTTAATATGAGTTTCAACCAAAATTATTTGAATTGTGTTGTTTGAAAATTTGGTGTGCTGTTGAATTGAGAATTGAGTAGTTTATAGGTTTTTGTTTACATAATGTATTGAAATGACGCCTTTTTCAACTACTCTATGATGAAACAAAAATAGGGCAATTGGTTATACTGATATACGTGGTGTTATATATATATGTAATATATAATTTATTTATATTGATCCTGTGAAGTATTTGATTGTGATTGCTATAGTGTTCCAACATATGTGTGAGGTTTGGAAATTCCTTTCCAATAATTTGGGCTATATTTCATGATAAGCATCCGGTGGATCTTGTATGAGAAGAGAAAAAGAAATGGAAGAAAAAGTGGGAAAAAAAAACTTTGTTAATAGTTTCATGTGGAAAAAACATGCAAAGAGTAAACTGCTAATGCATGTATTATCTTATGCAATTTTATCTTTTCTTTTGTGGAGATTTTGTTGGAATTTTGTGTTTCATTTGTTGTGGCGCATTATAGAAACCAAAAACACCCTTTTCATAGTTTTTAGATAATTAGAGATCGACGATTCCAACTTTCTTTACTCCATTCAAAAAGTTGTTCAAAATAATTGATCAAAATTTCCAATGATCCGGTTTGTGCATGTTATTCAAAATAATGTTACTTTTAGGAGTTGTTAGTTTTTTGTTTGTATTTTTTTTCCGTTGTGTTTTTGGCGCTAACCCCTTGCAGGCAATGGCACATATAGACATGGTTAATCATTTAAGGTAATCTCCTTAACTTTTTGATTTTATTTTTTACATTCAGGACAATGCATTGTTTAGTTTGGGGGGAGAAAATACTTATTTTGAGAAGAATTTATATATTTGCTTGCAGCTATGAGTTAGTTATTTTGTTTAAAAAAAAAAAAATTTTAGTGCTCATGGTATTCTTTTGTTCTATACATTGAGTGATTGGGCATACTTGTGGTATTTAATTGCTTTAACTCGCGAATTGTTTTGAAGTTTGATATGCTATCTACTTTGTTAAAGTATTCCATGTGTTCATATTTGGAAATCATTGCACTGCACTTCAGCCACATGAATATGATTTTTAGTTGATAAGTGGGTATGACTTGAAAATCTTGAGGAATGATAGTGGAGACTTTTAACCCTGTGAGTTTTGTGCCAATCATTTATTGGAGGGTTATTATACATCTACTCTTAATTTTTCTTTGGAAACGCATTAATTTGTTGTTTAGTCTCATTATTTTTTCATTTTTGGTTGAATGCTAAGAACAAATCGATTTGTTATCACACTTTTTACTCCCTCGAGGATGATGCATCGTTTAGGTTGGGGGGAGAAAATACTTATTTTGGGAAGAGTTTATATGTTTGCTTGCTACAATGAGTTAGTTGTTTTGTTTAAAAAAAGAAAAAAAGGTGTGCATGGTAATGTATTGTTCTATGCATTGAGTGATTCGGCATACTTGTAGTATTTTATTGCTTTAACTTGAGAAATTGTGTTGAAGTTTGATATGCTAGCTACTTTGTTAAAGTATTTCATGTGTTTGTATTTGGAAATAATTGCACTGCACTTTAGCCACATGAATATGATTTTTAGTTGATAAGTGGCTATGACTTGAAAATCTTGAAGAATGATAGAGGAGACTTTTAACCTTGTGAGTTTTGTGCCAATCATTTGTTGGAGGGTTACTATACATCTACTTTTAATTTGTTGTTTAGTCTCATTATTTCTTCATTTTGGTTGAATGCTGAAAATAAATAAATTTGTTATGACACTTTTATTCCCTTGAGATCATGAAAGTTAAAAGACCATACTAATTCTTGAGAGATGATTGTAGGCCATCTTTGTTTCTTTGAGCCTTTTATTTATTTTTCTTTCTTTTATTATTACTTCATGAACCATTAGAAACCAATTTGAGCCTTTATGTTAGCCTTTCTTTGTTTAACCCCACAACCCATACTTTCTTTTTACTTTTGTAGATATGTTGGGATTATTTGAGTGTAGCAATGGCAAATTTGTTTGAAAAAGAAAAAAAGAAAAAAAAAGGAGAAAAGCTGAAAAAAGGAAGAAGAAATAAATTGTGTTCAACGAAGGAAAAAAAAAAAAGAAAAAAAAAAGCAGAAGGAGGAAGTTGAAAAAGACAAAAAGAAAAGTAATAGAAAGAGCAAGGCATTTGGAATAATGCTCTAATTGTGTTTATTTTTATGCCAATTGTCTCTCAGATGTCCTTTTTTTTATTCACCTTTGGCTTTTTATTATTTTTTCGTAATTCCTCAACCCAAGCATTACAACCAAATAAAAGTCCTATTTGATCTTGAGAGTGGTATAGTTTACAAGTGGACATGATGGATTGAGGTGATGGTGTGGTAATTTTAATTCTCAGTATTTGATATTCCATTCATGAGACTATTTATTTATTCTTTCATTATAGTGTTTTTCCAAAAAATTAGTGTGCGGGATATTTTGCCTTTGATTTACATTATTCTACTCGCATATATTGAGAGTAATTTTTACACCATATTTTGAGTGATTTATTTGTTGAGTGCAATAACTGGTGAGATTTGAGTCGAAGCATGTTTCACAAAGAGATTTGGGTTATATTTCACTTTAAGGCTAAGGTTGTGTATGTGTTGGTTGAACTTTTTCACACACGCCAAATTCTGAATGTCATGAGATTTCTTTACTTGCTGCTAGTGTCTTGAACTTTGATTGGTTATCTTGTTAAGGTTGTGAAATTCATGACTTGAACTTTAGCATGAGAACGAAAGAAATCCTTCGAGTAAAGAAAATTTTTGACGTTTGTGGGTAACATTTCTAGAAATTTTATTTCTCAGTATTTGATATTCCATTCATGTGACTATTTATTTATTCTTTCATATTAGTGTTTTTCAAAAAAATTAGTATGCGGGATATTTTGCCTTTAATTTACATTGTTCTACTCCCATATATTGAGAGCAATTTTTGCACCATATTCTGAGTGATTTATTTGTTGAGTGCAATAACTGGTGAGATTTGAGTCGAAGCATGTTTCAGAAAGGGATTTGGGTTATATTTCACTTTAAGGCTAAGGTTGTGTCTGTGTTGGTTGAACTTTTTTCACACACTCCAAATTTTGAATTTCATGCGATATCTTTACTTGCTGCTAGTCTTTTGAACTTTGATTGATTATCTTGTTAAGGTTGTGAAATTCATGACTGGTTCTTTAACCTTGGCATGAGAATGAAAGAAGTCGTTTTAGTAAAGAAATTTTTGGATGTTTGTGGGTAACATCTTTGGAAACACGAGACTTTAACTCGTCCATGAGGGGTAATCTATTGGATTAAGGGCTTGTTGCATGTGCTAAATTCAATCATGATTTCTTGCGGAAGTGGTTTAGAGTAGTTGCTTTTATTTTTCTTTTTGATTTTATTGTAGTTGCCTTAATTGCTAGGTTCTAAAATTAAAGCTGGTTGGGAGGTGTGATGAATGCTTAAAATTACGTAGTTATTCTAGGGATTTTGGATATTATATTCATTCTCTCAATTTATATTTAATTGTGATTCAATGTATTTAATTTAAATTTTTAGAAAAACTACATTTGAGCCATCAACAATATAAATTGCTCAACCAGGCCCATAAGACTCGATTTGCTTTGAAATCATCTCATAAAATCCACAAAACCTCTCTCAAAGGTTAGACAAGATTTCATTGTATCTCCATTCCTTTTATATTTTGATTTTGCTCTTCAAATATTTATTTGTTTTTCCTTTTAATAACTACCCATCTTTTGTTCCTTTTATGTAATATATATTGGGTGACTTAGATAATAACAAGAACACTAGATCTGACCGCAATATTGTCAAGGGTGCTTGGGCTGCTTGAATTCAGCGCAACAAGATGGTAATTTTTATCTTAATTTTCTAACCCTCTACATAATATATATACCTTTTTACTCACAATGGTCTTGTGTTTGTAGCTTTTCATGAATAAAAGATAATATTTTTGTAGATCAGGGAGCAGAAAAGGGGTGCTGTTTTGAAAGAAAAAAGGGCCCCCAGTCGATTGATTTGTCCTCCCTGTGTCATTGTATATGATATGTTTTTAATGTTAATATTGTTTGTACTCAAATGAATTGTTGAGCCTTCACAAAAAGGTTCTTTTGTATAAAACTAGACTACATTTGTTTCCTGGTAAATTGAGATCTAGATGGACCGGCCCTTTCATAGTTAAAACTATTTTTTCTCATGGGGCTGTTGAGATTGAAAATCCCAAGAATGGTAATGTTTTTAAAGTGACTGGCCAACTTCTTAAACCAGTTTTGGAGAATTTCCCACCTGAAGAGGAGAGGAGTCCATTGAATTAAAAGACCCTATTTATCGAGACCCATAAACATAATAATAAAAGTAATGTTACTTTTAGGAGTTGTAGTTTTTCGTTTGTAATTTTTTTCCCTTGTGTTTTTGGCAATAATCCCTTGCAGGTTCATGGTTCATCTTTTTTTTTTAATAAAATTTTTGTTGACGCTCAAAAAAAAAAAAAATATATATATATATAGACATGGTTCATTATTTAAGGTAATCTCCTAACCTTTGTGATTTTGTTTTTTTACATTGAGGAGAATGCATCGTTTAGGTTGGGGAGAGAATACTTTCTTTGAGAAGAATTTATATGTTTGCTTGCTGCAATGAGTTAGTTGTTTTGTTATAAAAAAAAAAAAAAAGAGACCTTGTCTAGCTTAAGAAGCTATCAAAGCTCGAGCCATGATGGCTCTCATTCAAAACAGAACCAAATAAAACATGGAAAAAAATGACCATGAATTGATTGTAGGTGTTATTAACTTGTAGTTACTATTTATTTAGAATGTTGAAGTATTTTTGGTGCTTGATGTTTGCCTCTCTCCTAGTTCTTCCCCTCTTCATTATGCTTACATATGTGCTAATGTAAGCATTGTTCTTTTATTCTACAGTTTTACTCAGGAAATTCATCTATTTTTTCTTTATTTTGGAGAGGTGGTTCTACATGATGCTGATCCCAGTAGGAGGACCTTCATTCATTCATGTTTGAGCTGGTAATGATGGTTTAGTTTATAGTCCTTTCACAATAGTTTATTTTTGGGAAAAAAATGAAATTATGATTTCATCTAACAATTATTCTCTATTTATGCATATCATATGATAAATCATATTTGAAAATCACTCTTCCAATGTTTGATTGCAGTGAATTTTTAGACCCTGTTGTTGCTGCTACACTGACTTTCGAAATCTTAACAAGAGAAAACTTCTAACTAATTTCCCGACATTACTCCCTCAGGTATGATTTGAGATTGGCATGATTCTTTGCATAGGATTTAGTTTCTTTATTTGATTGAATTTTCAGATTTAGAAGTAGAAAAGAAGAAATATGAAACATGTATATCAAATATTTTGGTAACTTATCCTCCTCTAACATCAGTCTTGCATTTGTAGTTTTTCCCATTAATGCTAAAGCTCATGAAATGTAGAGAAGTAAGTTCCTTGTGTCATCTTTTTGGTTCCGTTCTTAAAAGATATATTTCATTTATTTTATTGGAATGATCTTAGTTATAATTTGTGCAATTGTTGTGTCCTTATAACTTGATATTTGTATATGACAAATGCTAAAAGTGCTGAATATTGGGATTGAAATAAGGAAGTGTCTTGAAAATAGGTCAAACAGTTAAAAGAAGTGCATTAATTTCAATAAAAACTGCATTGAATTTAATAAGTAGTGTCTTGTGTTTTCAAATTTATTTTTTGGTCTACTTTTCGTGTCCCAAGGCACTTTTTAGCAAGACCCTTCATATATATTGGTATTCATAATTGTAGTTTTATTTTATTTTTGTCCTGTCAATGCTACTTCAGAAATAAATTTTGTTGCTTATGTGATGCCA